CTGGTTTAAGATGACTATTCTCTTTGTACTGTTTGGGTATCTGGCTGGTTTATAATCTGGAAACAAGCTGGTCTCCTGGTTAATAAATAATTCCATTTTTAAAAGCAATCAAGGTCTTTCATACTTGTTTCTGATGACTGTGAACATGTTTGAATATGCTTGGTCATTCCTTTATACATTTTCCCCTATGTATCATATGCTTCAGCAGTTATAGTTAGAAGATAGAAATTATCATACAGTACTAGTACTGCAAAGCTGACTCCATCTGCCATCCGGAACAGTTAAACCAAAGAAGTATATTAACTATGTTGCTGTAGTACATTAAAAGATTTTTGGGGTGTGTGTGAATAGGGGCAGGAACATATCATTCTTAGTGAGTAATCCTAATCCAAGCTAATAAATGGTTTAACTAATACAATTTTGTCACACATTGAGCAACATCAAGGATGTAACATTTTTGAAGCAAGTAGTTTGTTCCTCCATCTGTGCTGCATATTTTGGGGATAATATTCTGTACATTACACAGAGGGAAGAATTAGATGTTTCAGTTGTGGTCAGTTACCCAGTACGCACAATCAACTAATGCTAGAGGAGCCTAGACTGATTTACTCTGTTTATATGATTAGCGTCTGCCTCCCTTCTTCATTCTTCTGTAGTGGTATCTTCATTGGGCCTTCTAGTCATCTAAAACGGAACAGCTGAATCTAACTGCTTCTCTCCTGTGCTGTGAATGCTGCCTAACTCAGTATATTGCTTTAATAAATACCAACAATCACTAACGTAGATCTGTTTAAAGGATAGAGCAGAATGTGTTTTTAAATAATCACCCAAAGCCAGCCAAGCATTTTTTAAAAGTAGTGTAATAGAATTTAGCCCAATCGGCTTATTCTGTCCCTAGTTAGTATAATTGCGACACCATGGCCCCATTGAGTCAAATAACTTCCGTTTCTATTTCCAAACAAAAATTCTCTGTCTTAAGAAATGAAGCAAAAATGTTCATCTCCATTGAACATATAGAATTTTCTTGAATCAGTTACTGACACTTAAGCCATGCATTTAAGATTTGCCAGTCTTGCAGTTATCTGTATTCCAGAATGAGCAGTAATTATACCTGTTGTCCAATCCATTATTTTAAACTACAAACTTAGCTTGTGCCTGAGTTTTACACAATAATATGCAGTTTAAAATAAAACTTTCTAGAATATGTAACCTTTGTGGTTATACAAAAGGTATTGGTGAGGGAGGAGTCAGTAGTTAACTCTAAGTAATAAATATTTTCATATATATTTTTTAAAGTTAACTTTTAAAAGATTATTATGCCAACCTCTGCAGATTTTTGGTCACATTTACAGCTGAGGCACTTTCTCTAAAGGGCAAGTTATTAGGTTGTGTTGTATACTTGCTTCCATTTCTTTCTCTCTCTTTTCTTTTTCCCAACTCTGCAGCCTGTTTTTACAGGGTATAAGTTTTCCTTTCATTGGTGGTGACCAAAGCATTCCCTTTGATCCAGCTCCTATAGTTTTAAATAAAGCATGAGTTAGATTATGTTTTGCTATTCTTTCTCTTGCAGAGAAGCTTCTAGTTTACATATCATTCAACAATTCCCTTGTACTTACATAATTGGTATTGTCTGTGTCCATAGTAGAGGACACTTGATGCTCATTTATTAAATATGCTTCCTGGCTGCTCCCTAATCTTTGTTCTGGACAGACAAATTACCTTTCTCACACTGAGTATCAACTCTGGGGAATTAAACCGCCAAGCTTCCACCAGTTTAATTAGCTTGAAAGTGGGGGGGGGGGAATTGTAGTTACTAATAGACCTCAGGCTTTTAGTAACTTCAAGGAAGGGTTAAAAAAAAAAAAAAACTTCTTAGGAAATTCAAAATATCATTTAAAAACCATAAAAATCTAATATATTATTTCATTTTCATAATTGCAAACAGATTGCATTTGAAAACTGTCGATCGTTTCTACTTTATCTGTGGAAGTTAGATTTCTGTCGAGCTAGGCATTTTTAATTATCACAATTCATTAACACATCACAGTGGAGGCACATGTTTGACTTCGTATATTACAGAGTTTATGTAACATTAACTAACGTAGCAGATGAGGAATCTTAAATGGAAGGAAAATATTCCAAAATGTCTATATTTAGTTTTTGTGCTATGCAGCATGCTAACTACTGTTGCCTAGGGGAGGGTATCTTACATGCTTTGACAGAATTTTTTTCCTAATTTAGAAGATCACTTTACTTGGTTCTTCAAAGGCAAGGCATGTCATTTAATCCCAGGCCAAAGGAAATGCATCTTTTGTAAAAGAAATAAAAAGAGATTGTAGGATTTCTCACTTGAAGCATTTTTCCCCCCTTTGGTGAAAGTATATCTTGCTGTCAAACTGCAGAAAATACTTTTGCAGTCTGTTTCTCCATTTGAACTCTTTAGGGACTTGATGTGTATTACAGAAAACCTTTTAATCGAGTCACAGTTGGAATCTAATAAAATAAGCAAATCGCGAGAAGACGAAAGCAGTCACGTTTAGCTCAAATCAAGCATTTTAGCTAAGATGCCCCTTTTTATTTCTTGCAGGTCTGCTAAAAGATCAGAGTACTGCAGAATGCGTGCCTTCATCTCAAACTTTCTTCATCACAGATGGATCCCATGTCTCCAGTAGACAAGTCACCTTTGTAGCTAGCATCAGTGCCAGCTCCATGCCATTGCACCTTCTTTACTCTTGATTGCCCTTCTCACATTTATTGGTGTATTAAAATGACTGAAAACGAACATTAAGAACTCCATGAATCTGGGCTAATGGGAGACTGTAGAGAAAAATGGGGGAAAAAAAAGATCCACCGGAGGAGAGAACAACTTTGGGTGGGCAGGGTGGGGACAAATGACTAATGAAGCTAATACAGATAAGCTTTGAAGTCTGCTTTCTACCCTCATTAACAATTAGCAGGGCACTGGTGAGAATTTGTACCCTGTGTTTTACCTTAACAGCATTCTCTTTGCTCTTTGTATAATTTACGTGTTGTAGGAAATGTTCAAAACTCAAACCTGAGCTAATGGAAAGATGGGGCTCTTGTGATAACCTATCACAAATACTTTTATTGTATCTCTGTAAAATACAATGTATGTATGCATGTAAGTGTGTTTTGTCCTAATGTTGCTACTTCCCATGACACAGAAAGAAAAAGGAAAAAAAAAATCAAGCTCATAGCAGCAACTGTAGAATTTTCATCTACTCCTAATTCGCTGAATGAAGAAGAAAAATCTTTTATTTGTGATATTTTCAGAGACATTTGCTCTAGTATGGTGTATTTAAATAATAAAAAACTTAAAATGAAAGGAACTGTAATTGATTTTGGACTATAGTGCAGTAGGGCAAATTTCTATCAAGGAATGAAGTTGTCACAATAAGTTAATATTTAAAACCTCGTTTTCCTGCTTTCCAGTAGCTTCCTGGCAAAAAGGAATGCATTGAAATCTATACAAAGAAACACTTTTAGCAGGGCTACCAAACTCAAAAGTGATGTCAGGGATTTATTTCTATAACAGTAATGTTTAATGGCAGGTAGATTTAACTTAAAGAATTTTGTGCTAGCTTCACTTAAGTCATCCAATTTTCACAAATGATAGGAAACGTACGTCTATCCTAACATTATTAACTGGCTAACTATAATAATTTTTATGTGAATTCAAAAGCACATCTAGGAATTAGGATGGTTTCTAAGTTGCCAAGTTACTCAAAAGTGTCCTCGTTGTGAACATTTTGTTTAAACTGTCTCGTTACAAAACATCCTGAGAAAATAATTACACTTTACTTATTTTTCTGCTTTGAAATAGCCCTCTCCTCCCCAATTATGAGTACTGTTTCAGTGCTGCATGAATGCCAACTTTTTTCAATGCTTTTCCAAGATGCAAATCTAATTCTTTATACTAGTGAGCCTGACAATCACTTTGGTGCATGCAGAGGTATATACTGTATGTAATACATATATATCTAAGACCATAAAGCAGTACAGGAAATTCAAGGCGTGTGCAAAAGCTGCTTGTAATTAAAGTCTTGTATGTGTCTCTTATAGACAAAGTCCCTAAATGGGAAATAATACGTTAAATATTGGAGTTGCTGGCTTATAGAGTTAAGGAAGTGGCTAATAGATTGGCTTTAATTGTTATTTCCCAATCAGTTTTCAGGTATGTGGAATTCTGGGAGCTGAAGTCCACGTGCCTGGGAATCACTGGCTTATCCAATGTCCTGAAATTTTGTGGGGAAATACAATGAAATGACAAGTACATGGTTAAAATGGAACAAATCTGTTTTGGCTTTTGGCAGATGGCATAATTGGGCCCATTTTGTCTATAGTCCTGTAAATCTTTCAACATCATTATACTAATTTTTATATAGGTAGGAATGAAAGATTCTGGTCGCAGCTGACAAAGTTGCCAAATGTGGGCTAAAATATTCTTTGGATAAAAAAGTATCCTTCAAGCTGAATTTGATTTTGGTGATTTCAGGGACACTTATCTGATTTCATACAGAAACAACATATTACCTAAAACATAACACTATGTAAGATTGGCAGGGGTTTTTTTTACTCAATAAATGGCTAATAACTCTTGAGTGTTAACTAGGAGATGTAACATGCAGAGTTCTGGCTTTTCATTACATTTCGCATACCTTCTTTATCACCACCACCACAAAACAATTCAAGGATAAGCTGGGTTGTCCCAAAATAACAGTGTAATCCATGAGTAATTTATAGTCTAAATTTATGGTGGTGCTTGATGTTGATTTGCCTGTAAGATAGTTTTGTGTAATCGTGATCTATGCAAACTGAGGACAGACATAAATTTTAAATTCCAAATGCATTCCTGGTAAATATTAATGTTCTCTGGAGTGAGAAATATTGCATCATTTTTTTCTGGCTAAGAAGATACATTGACTTGAGTCTCCAGGGTGAAACTCTAAAAATAGGAAAAGCTAACTGCAAATTCATTAAAAGTAAAGGATTTTAATGTACATATTTTAATTTTGATCAGAGCAATAGTTAAATGTATTGCACTTCCTGCACAATCCACTGAAACATTGGCCTAGTTGGAGTGTAATGTTCAACAGTGATTTAGTGCGATGTGACTGAATTTGGCAAGTGTTATCCCCTTTACTCTCTCCTTGATTTCCAAATGAGCCAGATAAGGAAATTTGAATGTGGGAGGTGAAGATGGAAAGTGACTCTGTGACTCCTGCTTGGGTTGCCAAACAGACTGTATTTTCAAGCTAAGCAACTGTGTCCTATCTGCAAATTATTGTGCTGTCTTTACAACACACAGACACACAAAAACTCAATGTATGAAAATAGTTCTGAACAAAATCATGCCAAGTAATAGCTTGCAAAGGTATTTTGCATCCCAGAGTAAGTCCCAAATGTCCCTAAAATGTTGGAATTAGCAGAAGAGTACTGAAAAGTTATTTTGGGACAGCATAATCTCACGCGTTCTAGCTGGGGAAGATACATTTTTAAAAACTCTGTATATAAGCATTCATCATTGTGCCGTTGGAGTTAAAACATGCTAGGACTGGGGGGGGGAGTTTTTTTTTTTTTTTTACTATTGTGTGATATAATCTAGATGTACTAGAGGATGACTAATAACTTTCAATAAACCATAGTGTGGCATTAAGCAACGAAGAGACCGAAGTTTGTCAAAGACTTCAAATAAGCTTTTTAATGTGCCTGGTTCTTGAAGCGCTGCTACCTATATAATAGAAAGCTTAAAATACGGTCTTAAATTGCAGACCTTATAAGATTACAACTATCTATAGTGTTAGTATAATCCACATGCAAGTCATAGTCTGTGCTTTGATGTCCTAAATTGGAGAAGGATTCTTGGGGCTATGGGTATATGATGGAACGTCTAGCTAGATTGGGGTAAAACATGATAAAAACTAAAGACCTACAAAATAATAAAAACAGATCTTCGTGGTGAGGGAAAGTTCTAGTGTGATTCAGTATTCGGCAAAACAGTTTGGAAATTTGATTTGCAGCGGGAAAGGTAATTTTAACATGCTTGCTCTTTGTTCATTTCTTCCTAACTTAGTGTTGCTTAGACATGTTTGAACTGCTGTTCCCATCGTTATCGTGAATGGGTGAATGTATACGAGTAGGACTCCATTGCAGCTGGAGAGCATTAACTTGGAAAAAGCTGGTTTGTTACATTTGTTACAGCATCTTTCTTGAATCTGCTATGTATATAATACATGGATTCATCCCTAGCCCTACAAACATGCAGCTATTCAGCAGGATCTATTGCATTAAAAAATAGTTGGAGCTCACCAAAAACTCAGAAGAAATTGTACCAGTGTGAAAGCATTCTTGTCAATAGTCAGAAATAGTAAAGCTATTGTTAACTCTTTTTAATGAGCTAACTTTGCAAAAGGACTAGCTCTCCAGCCAATTTTACATATCCAGTTTTCTGATGATTTGTGCATATCCCACAGGCATGGAAACATTTAAACTTCGTTCTCCAAGCTAAATTCTGTATCTAATGAAAGACTACTTTTTCTGTGGTTCAAATTCTTTAATTAGGTTATATTATACATTGTAAAAAGGATCATTCACACCAAAAAGAAGGAAACAAGCATTGCCTTTAAAAGTGAGGTAGAGCAGCTACAGGCTATTTCAGTACTTGTCTTAATCTTCCTAAGAAGTGGCAAACAGAGGAAGTTGGGCAAGAGAGGTATGTAATTTTCCAAATTGTGGCGACTTTGTAGTTTTGGTTTCATCTATCAATAGTTGTGCCCTTATATTACCAGATCAATTTTTCCTTTGCGCCAACAGCTCTTTAACTAGGAAAAAGTTCTCTGCCTCTCCTTTAAAATGTTAATAGCATGGCAATGGAAGATTGGCTGTCGGCGTTAAACATTTACTGTTTGGGTTCAAAAGACTAAAATTCTTAACAAAGAAAGCTTTATAATTTACTGGCAATTAGATTTATCATAATGATGCAAAAGTTTGCAAGATTCCAGCGCCTGAGAAATGTATTTCAAACAGCACTCGTTTAATAAACATGAGGAATGAGATTACGGTGTGTATAAGATTTCTTTATGTGAAAGGCTTCGGTATGTGACTAGCTTGGCTTAGATCATTATTTGCTCCCCTGTGTCTTGATGTCATTGAACAGAAAGTCCCGGACTTCTATTGTCCTCTTTTCTTTCAGGTGCACACATGCATTGTTAGTCTGGCTTAGCTGTAAGAAAATTTATTACAGTTAAGTGGCAATTTGTTGCCATGAAACTGCAATTAAAGTATTACAGAGCAGCCATTTTAGATTAACACAGATTCAGAGCATGGGCAAGCACAGCTTTTGTTATCTTTATAGCATCTGAGCTCTGCATAACTGTAAAACTGTGACATGTTCATCTATGTCTTTTGTCAAGTTAAAGAATTTGAGCTCTCCGTGGAGCACTGTGATCTCATCACAAGCATAACGAAGAGGAAAGACAAGCTGGGACTGATTTTTTGCAAGTTCAACCTGTGATGTATAAAGTTATTACCATATTTGGCGGCGCTGTGAGTGCCTGCTGGAGACAAAGAGGGGGTAGGAGAACATTGCTTGTTTTAACCTCCCTGGGGATACGTATGCATTGGTAAAATGGACTGCGGGTTCTGGAGTTGGATGACAAGAATATCTTCAGATCCTAACATGTTAAAGCTTCTTTAACAGAACTCCTGTTAGCCCTAATCACAACTAAATGGAACTCAGGTACATATATGATCTAAAGTTAATGTCCCAAAACATATTTGAAACACATAAGGAAACACATATTCACACATATTTGAAACACATAAGGAAAATTAAAAAATCTTTCTCTCTCTTCCTTCAGTTCCAGCAGGAAGCTGTACATATCTTATTTTTTTGTAAGCTGCCCAAAGTCACTAAGAGTGAGTGGGCAGCCATATAAATTTTCTAAATAAATACATTTTTTAAATAAGTAAATAATATCTTGATTGGACATAGACCTTGACTGCAGGCAAATGATACAATTTGTTAGGTTAGCCTTCCTCAGTGTGGTGATCTCCTATTTGCTGAACTGCCAACTCCCATTCTCAGCCAGCATTGTCAACAGGAGAAGAAGGCTCCCTTAATTTTTACATGTTTATTAAAAGGCATCAGTCCCAAATCACATTAGGTGTTCTCAGTATGCTCTAATGCTCTGCCGGATTGTACTTTTCAATCATAGCCTATTGAATTTAGAACAGTGATAATAAATTAAGCTACCTAGACTGAAGCAAAATAAAAATATTATTTGTGGGGAAGCCTTGATAATACTTGGCTCTGCAGGGGGGGGT